CTCTCTCTCTCTCTCTCTCTCTCTCTCTCTCACACCCACACACACACCCAATTCACTCCTTCCTTCCCTCCCCTCCCCACTGAAAGCAAGCCAACAAGTCTCTCTCAAAAAGTGAAAGCCAAGCCCAGCCCAGCCCAGCCCAGCCCAGCCAAGCCCAGCAAATTCACCCATCGAGCCAGCCGCCCGCGTCAAGACATTCCACATTCCCAGCACCAGAACTACCGGTACACCAGAGAGAGAGAGAGAGAGACAAAGAGACAGAGACAGAGATATACATACATACATATAACCACCGTATCCGCGTGTGCTGCCACAGCGGGCAATTCTCAAGACGAGGCTACCAGCTACTGTTTCGGGCGTGGACGCCCGTCCGGACGGGTTTCGCTTTCCGCAGGGCTGGCTCGCGAACTGACGGGCTGCTTGCTGGGTTTCTGGTTTTTGGGGTTTGGGGTTTTTTTTATTTCGTGCGAGACTGCGTTTAGATCCCCAGGGTGAGGGAGGGAGGGGATTGACTGTTGTATCCGGGGGTGTTTATTGCTTGCGGAGAGGTGCGATTGGCGCTGTCGCTGTCGCTGTTACTTTCACTCTCGCTGTCGCTGTCGCTGCTCGTCTGTAAGATAGATAGATTGATAGATAGATGCTGCTGTAGCAGCCAGCCAGCCAGCCAGCCAGCCGACTAGCCGGCCGACCAACCAACCCAGCGCTACAATCAGCGCCCTTTATCCTCAAACGTCCTTCCCTAGCGCAGCGAAGCGACACAGGGAAAGCAATAGGTACCGGTAGATAGATGTCTATGAAACGACAGTCGAGAAGTTATCAAACCATAATAGCATCGCATTGCACTGCACGTACCAGCTTTTTTCTTCTCTCTTCCTTTCAATCCCTTAGTTAACAGTTAGTTAACAGTTAGTTAGTTAATTAATCAATTACTTCCATCCTTTGTCTTCTCAAGGTCTTTCCTACCGCCTTGAAAAACAACGTGGAACTAAACCGCACGCAACCGATTGACACGGCTGCATCTGTAGAAGGGAAGGGAGGCGATGGGATTACGGTATTGATTCGCTCGTGTTGTGACGATAGCTACCGGTGTGTGTATACCGGTATATGTCATAGGAGGTGCAAGGGAGAGAGGAGGAGATCCTTTTTTTTTTATTATATATATATATACAGCAGCAGCAAGCGAGCGAGTAAGCGAGTAAGCAAGCACGTAAAAAGACAGATACTAATTCAATAGATAGATGTACAGACAGACACGTACACAACACTTGACAAGCCGGGTAAAAGAAAAGAAAGAAAAAAAAAAGAGATTCACACACAGCTTCAAAAAGCCCAGACATCTACCTAGATATGCAAATCCTCCTCAACACGATACCCCCCCCCCCCCCCCCAAAAAGAAGACCCTTTCTCTGTCCAGATGAGCAAGGGATAACTAACCCCTCCTTGCGATTGAT